TATAAACAAAAAGTGATAAAACTTTCGAAAACTATAGTTCAATATGTATATATATTGAACTATAGTTTTCGAAAGTTTTATCACTTTTTGTTTATAATTGACATTTTTACAGCAACTTTAAAAAAATTGACGTTTTATACCGTTTTTTCAATCTCACGGCTTTGTTATTGCAAATTTCGTAATCGAGCCACCGCCATTTTGTAGCTATTTTTATTACGAACAAAATCATGTCCTAAGCATTTTTTCGTACAAAGTCATCCCGCTGAGTTATTTAAAGAAAACTACTAAAAAAAAATTTTTTTCACGATTAAATTGTTAATATTTTTTTTTCCTGATAAAATACTTTGTCAGCAAATTAGCCTGTTATTGTACTCATCATTTAAAATATTCCCGTGTAGTTATTTCCGAGTTATCAAGAAAATGTCACCAACAGTAACTTTTCGGCCTCTGGCGACTGGAGTATTATACAATAATGGTACTACGCTTAAGAGCTACTATTTAATATAATTTAGAGGAGCAGCAGCTCAAAATTTAGTAACCCAAATAGTAACAAACAGATGAAGGCAGTAACGCTACTCCTCAATTGGATGGAGCCAACCTCTGCGTCAATGTGAACTTTTAATACGAAATGTTTGACGAATAAGTACAGGGTTCCCCATATTAGACTATGCAGTTTAAAAGTCGAATAAAAACTTTCTGATCAAAGTAAATTAACTTTTTAATGGACTAATATGTAGCTAATTTTATGTGATTTATAANTCAGGTTTTACAGTGGACCAGTTTCCAGTGCCGTGCAGAAGTGTATTTTTAAATCAATATTTGGAACTGATCTTTTTGATTTTTCTTTACAAAATTGTATTTGCTTACAAATACAATTCCCCTGTACATCCAGAATTTTTTTTTGGATAAGTTCTGAATCACCCTGTATGTAATAAAAGTTTTTCCTCAAATTTTAGGAACAGGTAGATCAGCAAAAAATAACGATATTCGAAATAATGTTTACTTTTTGTAACTGTCAAATTACTACTAGTACTTTCTTCAAAAACATTCTTCAAAAATTTTCCAGATGTGTAATTGAAATTTTACAGATTTTTTTCGATAGTAAGAATGGAATTTTTAAACTCAGCAGTATCTGAAGAGTCATTTAAAATAATTTGAATATATTCCCCGAAAAATCTTATAATGTATAGTACTTGTATTAATAACTGCCCGGCAAAAAATTAGGGAATTTGTTACATTGTATTGTAGTATTGTGTTTCCTTTTCTGTTTTCTTTTGTCTTACACCAGCAACTTGTGCACGACATGAGTGTTACCAAAATGGTGCCACAGCATCGCAATTGTATGCCAACCATTTTCCTTTCTACTAGGTTTGTTTATGTTGTTTATAGGTCTGAAAATATATGATACAGAAAAATCACTGTAGACATATGTACATGTACAGCAAATTCTAGCATTAATGCCTAAAAGCCATTCTAAATAATATGATTTTGTAAATAACTTTTACAGCAAAACTCATAAAATTTATTCTAACAAATGGATGAATCATTTTCAACGCAAAGAGTCCAAATAATAATTACCTTAGTAGGTGAATATGCCGCAGTAGAACAATATCATTGCCTCTAAAGTCATCAGATTATAATTAACGTGATTTTCTCTTGAAATCAACACATTGAAAGAAATAAATAATTACGCGCACGCATAGAAAACGTCTTGTAAATAATTCTGGGATAGATCGTTTACATTTTCGTTATTTTTTGAGTTTTCAGAGCAATGTTATTTGAAAAATGGTCTAACTTTTTTAAGTTATGTGTTTTGTTAAAAGAATAAGACCTGCATTATATTTACTTTTAAATAATTTACTCGTTTCTGAAATTTGAAGCACCTGTGGTTGTTTAAGAAATACGTATTTTTTGTATATTTGATTTGATTTGAGAGTTTTGTTTTTAATTGCAGAAAACTTAAAATTTATGAGGAGCAGGAATTGACAATGCAAGTTTTTAACGAACCAGAACAAAATGTACTAAACAGGAGGGACAGTGATGATTATATTCCGGTAAGCTTTACCACTTGCGGGATGAGTATTTACGTGTACATATATTTGCGCAATATTGCAATTCTCCTTTTTTTAGGAGGATAATACATACGCAACCATCCAACATCCTAACAGAAGAGGGTCCTCACACATGGCTGCAATGTCCCTCTCAGATGATTTGGCAGACTATGCCACATTATCAGGTGTAGCCCATCGCACACCTGGTAGTAACAACAGCTCCTTACGAGAGGCTCCAAATGTAAGTAAATAATTTACCTGTATTTATTTTTATTATTTATAATCCGTACACCACTGCAGAATCAATATCTGGGTAGCGAACAATAACGATGCGTTAAAGACACTTTAAATGTTTGCCGCTTTCTATAAATAATGACACGTAACAAATCTCACATTTAATGACCTAACAACCAATCAGATTATGCTGACATATTACCAGTGACAAGAATTTCATTAAGTACATAAAATAATGCATACAAATACAGACTAATAGTACCTGTAAAATTATGAAAAGTACATGAATAAAAAAGTGTAACCAAAAAGAAAATTCCAGTGATATGTCACTGTAATTTATTTAGTTTTAGCAGGTTTAAAATTTCCAACTTTTAAATTACATCGATTATTGCCAAGTATTATAATAAATTACCATATATTTCCAATGCTTTCTAGAACGTAGCATCTTTTACAGGTGCTTACCTCTTTCAACAAAGAAAATTAATTTCACTTATTTTTTGATAATCGGGATTACATTTTATCATAACACATCTTGTCCATCGAAAGTATGTTAGGACAAATGGTGGAGGTAATTCAAAAACGAAATGCCATCCTTATTTAACTTCACAAGATTTGAATGGTTTGCAATATAAGTGTCGATATTTTTTACACTGATTTTTGGCAAATGTACATTTTTCAGTTAATTGAGTAGACTAAACAGCATGGTTAGGAATACTAGTTTTCACCGGCTGGCACACAGTGTGATATTTTAACAATCTTGAGTATTTTATTTCTATTCGCTGCAGGCCAGTTGTGACAGCCTGACATCATTATTTTGTACATTTCCAGTTTTTGTATTGCATCATATTTTTCTGTGATTTAGATTTTATTTAAATATAACATCATTTCATTAATTATTTTATTAATTGCTACAGTTATACACGGAAATTAGACTGGATATACGGAGTGTTTCTGAAATAAATACATTCCTTGAAAAGGGTGCTAAAGGGTGAAAAAGGGCACTTCATATCTTTCACCCTTTTCAAGGAACGCACTTATTTCAGAAACACCCTGTATAAAATAACTACAAATCTAATTTAAAAAATTTTGTTCTATTATAATAACTTATCTTTTCCTTTCCGTTAAGCTGAATATAGTAAAACAAACAGATACAAATGAGTTTGCGTTTCTAACTGATGCAGAGCTGTGCATGATTGAAAAAGAACGCATTTAGCTAAAAAGAATAAGACTTAAGCGCGATTTGGAATAGCGACTGCTCATTTGTAGGCGGAGCCATCCCATACGCAAACTTATTTGTATCTGTCTGTACATTTTAAAATCCTCTTTCCCCGCCCATGGTTTCTGACGTCAAAGATGAATCATGTGTACCGCCTTCCGTCTCCTAATAATAATTATTGTTTTATCTATTTCTTTTGCAGTATTACGAGGCAGCTATGGGTTTCCAAGGGTCAACTTTCCAAGTCCCAGACCGACTTAGTAGTTCGAATGACTACGATCCTTATGGTGCACATTTTAAAGGCTCAGAGTTAACCATCAATCATGAAGGTCAACCAGAATACGTTGCCGAACTGATTTAGGGTAATTTTCGATAGTTTCATTTTAGACTGTTTTTAAAGTGACAATATTGACTGGAAAAAGTGCTGTTTATTTCACGTTACACTCGATAAGTTTCTTATGTTTTTGGATGCTCTGAGTCCAGTGGCGGATATTTTATAGGAGGAGTGATAAAATTTTTCTATTGTAATGATATTTTTAGTGAAAATTATTTTAGTGTTTTTTTAATTTATTGTCAGTTTTTGTGTATTTTTGTACTTTCGAATAATTATCTAGTATGAAATGGCCATATCATACCTTATTACGTTAACGGTAATTTTATCTTGTTATTTATTAACTCAATTTTAGATAAATGAAATGATTGACATTGTATACATTTGTACATATGATATAAATATCTTTATGTAAATAATTGCGTTTTATTCCCAATCACAATCACATGCAAACATGTTCACAGATTGAGTCCGCCCGTATTAAACAAATATCATTTTATCACTGTAAATGAAGAGCTTTGCAGTCAAAACCAAAATAAATAATTGTTTCCTCGCATATTCGAGTAATTCCCTCAAAACACTGTTATGGCATATTTATTTAATCTTTACTGCCTAATTTATAATCAGAAATTACCAATGTACCCATGGAATTGCAAGAAAAACACCTATTTATTGTAGACGCAACCACAAAATACATAATAATGCATCTAAAAAATTTAAACAATGCATTTGGGTATTGTATACAGGATATCATAATATTCTGTGTACATGTAACTACCACAAATCTTGAGGTGAAAATAAGACGAGAAAACCAAATTGATTTCTAACAAAAGTTGTTTCGTTTAGCCGCCAAAGTATATAAAAGTCGTCAAAAATGTTCAGTTTCTTTCAAATAACTTCAAAATTTAAATGAAATTTGGTATGCTAGGACTTGTCAATGGATGCCAGTTTTGACATAGTAACCGAAATAATCGATTTTATAAAAATGATGAAAATACCCCACCCTTAAGTGGAAGGGACCCTATGGTTTCATTTTTTTAACACCATGATTTTTCTGCTTTGCCATACTCTATGTACCTGGTCGCTGCCAGTTGCAAAACTACCTTGCACTTCCTAGCTCTGGCTAATAATTTTTCTTCTGTTCTCGGGCTAGGTTCTGTGGAACCTATGTGTTCTGATACAAGGGCCGCTCTTACAGAGCGTAACCCGAGAATAACAAGCAGAACCAACGTATTTTAAATATCAGCACGGGCCAGGGAAGCCCTAGCACCTACAGCTTCAATTTTTATTTTATCACACAGTTTTTGAAATTTCTCTCATTTGTAAATTTGTTGTATTCATAAGTGTTTTTTACAATAATTATTTTATTACTCATCCAAGACATTGTTACTTTAATACAAATCTGATTTGTCATCAAAAAATGTATTTATTTGATAATTACAAACTATTAGAGTTTGATGAAGTTCAGATGTTTGTAATCGAATGTAATCTTTCATGAAAACGATTGAAAATAGACATTGTTTTCAATAAGACAATCAATTCAAAAAGAAAAAGATTTTCCGCATTTACAAATTATGAACCGTATAGTTTTTCGTCAAATTCATCTATTTTGTACTAAATACGAATAGTTAGGAAGATTCAAATTTGATCATAAATTACAGGAATCGGTAAGTGTAAAATACTGCAATAATTTTTTTAAATTTTGTTTCATTAAATTATGTTTTACGGTAATATTTTCAAATAGTGTATGCAGCTTTGGATGGAAATAAGTTTAAATATTTAGTCTTGATTTGACTCGAGGATCTCTGGAGATGTATACAGAATATTAAAACACTCGTTGTAGGAAAACCTATTAAATAGTTTCAAGTTTCAAGTCACGAAACATATTTGCATTTTACCTTAAAAAATTTTTTATACAAAAAGGTATAAAAGAGCATTTACTCTGAAACACTTTGGGGATTGACCTGCAACGAAGTGCCGTCTTGAGTCTCTTTATATAATGACGGAAATAACTAACCATCTGCTGCCCTCCTCCGTCTCTTCCATTTTTAATATGTTCGAGAAAATAACCCAAGTACTGAAAAAGTAAATAATAATATGACGCCCCCTCTCCCGCACAAGTCTTTAGCTTTTGGAGAGCTTTCAGAGCTTTCAGAGAATGAGAAGTACATATACAGGGTGTTTCTAAAATAGGGTTCCAAACTTCTGCTGCATTTATAACTCATTAAAATAAGCCAAAAAGTTCCTATTAACATGTGCCCTAAAACACACCCTTAGGAAGTAATATGCCCTTAAAAGGGCTCAAACAAAACTGGTTTTTTCTGTTATTGACAAAACGGTTTGGTGTACAAAAATAATACCAAAGTTATCATTAAAAAATGATTTTTCATAAAACTTTAGCACCCTGTAGTTCAAAAGTTAAGACTTTTAGGACGTATGTTCATATGAAGTTTTTTTTCATAAAATGGACCCAAGAATAACCTTAAATATTCGCACCTTATTAAGAAACACCCTGTATATACAGGATCTATTTCAGGTTACATAAACAGAGAAGCTGTTAATTATACCTTAATTAATGAAAATTAATAGATAGTACGGTTACTTGAATAATAATTATTTTGATTTGGGAAATAATTCGATGTTTTGATGCTGAACATATCTAAAATTTTATCTGGAATATATGCGTCAACTATATATTTTTGGAAAACTTAGTACTCTTGTCACAATAGTGAGTCAAATTTGAAATAGCTTGAAAGAACAAATAGCGAACGAAAATTAATATGTTCACTCCTGAAAGTACGCCACTGTATGTGAAAAACCTGTGCCTTACAGCTGTTAATAAAATCTATCTTATTTACAAACCTAAACACCTTGTATCTCGGAACCAACCAGTACAAAGCCAGCCTTTTTTTCATTGTTCAAATTTGGTAACTAATTTTTTCAAAGTTCGGGGCGTTCCTTCTATCAAAAATTCCTCGTAATTTGCGCATTTGCGCTACACACTCTCCATATTTGTAATGAATTTTCATTCGGGGCGTTCCTTCTACCGAAAATTCTACGTAATTTGCGCACAGTCTCAGCTACACACTCTCCATACTTGTAATGAATTTTCACAATCTTCACTCGTTCATCTGGTTCATAGCGCTCCATTTTGTCTAACCGCAACGTGTTTACTACAACATGTGGTCCTGCACAGTGCTACCAACTCTTCGGAATGAAACTGGCGCACAATTCAAATCCAGAGTTACGAGTTACTTTTGGGACACCCCATAGATTATCTTTAGCTAGTGATAGATTTTACTGAATTATAAAATATTATTTTTAAGGTGAAAAAAAAACATTATCCAAACATAGCGTTTTATTAAAATTCGTAAGAAACAAAATATATTTCAATTAAAAAATATTAACTAATATAAAGTTGCGACATGTTTGTGGATCTTACAATTAGATAAACCACAGTCATTCAAATTTCCAACAGTTTTGTTTATCTCTCATCTGATCAAGCAATAACAATAGAAATCCTAGATTAACGTTTGGGAAGGATATCTATTTTTATCAATTACTATTATTATTTATTAACAGAAATAAATTTATACCCAACTGATGAACATTTAAAGTGACATACACTAGTAATAAATTTACCAAAAAGGAATGTGTTGTTTATCATTTTTTATATCTGTTTCTTATTGTATTTATATTAACAATTTTTATTAAACTTTACAACATGTATAATAAGTACTAGACATCAAGTGTCGCAATAAATGTCGCAGATTTGTTGCAGCCACTAAAAGCCAAAGCAATATGAGAATGATTTACGAAATAACTTTATATTAGTTTTATTCCTGGATCTAAGATTTTACCCATAATTGAAGGAATTAAATATCAGTCGTTAAATATGTGTACGGTGTTACAAGAAGTAGGTATAGCATTAAAAAATATAATTGGTGCACCTAGGTAGTATCTATAAATAATAATTAAGAGCTGTTCTCGACGCCATTCGAGTTTTTCTTCGCGTTCCTCAGCGTTGCCCGTGACTGCTGGATGTTGATTTGTGGCACTGATAATGCGGACTTTGGCGTTTCCTGGGTTGCTAAATTGTCAGCCAATTGTTCCTGAGAGAAAAATTATTGTAAGGATTGTGCAACAAACAAGTGCATTTGTCACTATTATCAACAGAAAAGTAACAACTGGATCAATGTTTTAATCTCACAGGATATTTTTGGTATTATCTATTAATTGTTCTACAAACAAAAGCTTGGATAAATGGAATTTGCAACAATATGTTCATATCAATCACTAACAGAACCAAAGTACTTCTACTAAAAATAATGTGAACACTTACCAGGTACTCTCCCAGGTAGACGTTTAAATCCTTAAGCAGGATCATATACTGACGAGCTTGTTTTTTGAGGGTGGTGCCGAGACTCCTCTGAACTCCTTCCAAATGCACCTTCTGGGAAAGCAAATCAAATGAACTCTCTGCCCTAAGTATTCTAATCCTCAAAGGGAAAGCAACATAGTGGTTATTTGTTAGTAACTAAATGTGCGAAGCTTTGGTTCTATTAGTAGCTGTATTTCGTGAAAAATTGTTAAAATAACTATAAAAACAGAAATTTTGTAGTTACGGAGAAACTTTATTGCAAAATTTTTTCCCAGAATTATTCGCCAAAATTTTAACCACATATTTGACTCATCAAAAGCAACAACTTTTGTCTCTTTTTTTTTAGTTTTTAAGATAATATAGCCTTTTAATTATTTTACCCGCTACTGGAGCATAAATCGAAACGCATATTTGATTGAATAATACAGGGTGTTAATAAACTTATGTCAAAAATTTAAAGGAAAAAAAACTGAGTTAACTGATGTCACAAACTTGTATCGGAAGTTTAAGGTCATAGAGACAAAAGCTAATTAAAAATGTGTTTAAAACTGTTTTGGAACTGCTGAAATACATGTATTTTATCGCAGTGACTACTTACAAAAAATTCTGTAACTTTTACGAGTTTGTAGGATTCTTATGAAGCTAGACTGTATTCGAAAGTCAGTTTGTAATACATTGTTGTAGTGATTGCTGTGCTGTTTTTCGAGAGAACATTTAATAGCCGTATTTCCAAGTTTTATTTTGAAAATGGCGCATTTATTTAGCTATCGCGATTATGATATGCTCATAATTTATGGCAAAGCAAACGAAAATGCCCACAGAGCTTGCCAAGTGTACCGTGCAAGATATCCTGAACGACGTGCCCCCGCTCCCCGAACATTTGTTGCTGTAGCGCAGAGAGATTTGGACACCGGTGAAATACAACCGCGTCGAGGCCCAGGGCCACCACTAAGAATCTTAAATGTCGAGATGATTTTAGATCTCGTCGAAGAAGATCAGTAGCGTAGCACCCAAAATATCACACAGCAAGTAAATATTTCGCATCCTGTTGTGTGGCAGACACTACGAGAAGCTCAGTTGTACCCATTTCATATTCGACATGTCCAAGCGATTACTCCTGAGGATTTTCCAATGCGTCGAGGTTGTTGCGAATGGTTGCTTCAGGAACATGCAGGAAATCTTCAATTTACAGCGCAAATACTTGTTACGTATGAAGCATGTTTCAGTCGTACGTAACGTCCACAACACTCACCACTGGACTATCGAAAATCCACACGAAATGTCGCGAGGCCTTTCAGCAACAGTTTTCTGTGAACATGTCGGCCGGTATCGCTATTGACACTTTAATAGGATCTTTTGATTTGCCTAGACGCTTGGACGGTGCTTCATATCTAGATTTTTTGCAAAATCGTTTGTCGGATTAGTGGAAGACGTGCCATTAAATGTTCGGCAAAATATGTGGTTAATGCATGACGGAGACCCAGCTCACTTTTTTCGGAGAGTGCGCTACTTTCTTAAACAGGATATGTGAAAAGTGTTGTGTATTCCACAGAAGTTCGTGACATCGACCAACTGCGACATCGTATTGCCGTAATACGATTCGAGAGGACGTGGCAATGTTGCAACGCGTGCGAGCGAATTGGATACGTCGCGGTGAAGCTTGTGTGCAAGCAAATGGTGGGTACATCGAACACCTTCTATGAAAATCAGCAGTTCCCAAAAACTGGTTCCTTAGAATATTGAGGTCAGATTTTAAAACCATATTCAACACAAATCCGTGTATTTTGACATAACGGACATTTTTAAAAAATATTTGACATAAGTTCATTAACACCCTGTATACAAGAAAATTAGTCTATAACAGCTGGTTCCAGGGTTATTTACAACATTCTCCAGAAGCGTAACTTCAATGTTCGCAGTACGATTGGGTTGTTGTCAGTTCACCTTTAAAAGATCCTGAAGAATATGAGCAAATTTGCATCTATTTAGTATAAGAGTATTCGGAAAATTATCCATATAAATCCTAAGAGCCCTAGAAATGATCATATGGACATCAGCGTAAGCTTACATCATATCAAAGTATTCAATGTCTATAAAATACGACTGATATACAAATCACAACTGCTAATAGCTCGTCGTGAATCATTGCATAAAACATTCGCTTACGTTACTTAGATTTTTTTTAATCCATGGGAGGCCCGTTAGTGTTATTTTAATGAGCAAAAAATACTGGACCATCATGTAAGATTTTGAGGAAGAACATTAGACAAAAGCTGTTGCTTTTGATATGTGGTTAAAATTTTAACACTTGTTCCTGAGATCACTGTGTTCTGGTTTATCTAAAAGAAAGTTAAATTGATTGAAAACCGTTTTTATAATGTTGGATGTAACAAACTGCGTTTTACTTCTTATCCTGTAGGCCTCAGCTCTGAACAAAAAAATCTCAAATGGGAATCCCCTAACTTTTAAGAGATCCTTAGTAAAATGCTTTCCAACAATACCACATATACTGCATTTGGTTGTGTTGGATTGGATATTATCAACATCAACATTTTTCGTGTCTTAAAATGTTCGGCAAGAATCAGAACGTATTGACCAAGAACCTCTGCTTCTTTTAATATCATTGATTTTTTGTCATTTTATAGATATTAATCATTACTTAATTGACCTTATTGTAATGATCGACCATTTCCTATATGGGGTATTGTTGGAAAGAGTTATAGTCCAGTTGGTAGAGGTTCGGCGTGTGTCAAACCTTGATAACCCGGAAATAACTGCACAGGTCTACTTTAAATGATGATTGCAATAACAGGCTAATTTGCTGACAAAATATTTTATCAGGAAAAAAGTTATTAACAATTTAATCGTGAAAAAATTTTTTTTACTAGTTTTCATTAAATAACTCAGCGGGATGACTTTGTACGAAAAAATGCTTAGGACATGATTTTATTCGTAATAAAAATAGCTACAAAATGGCGGTGGTCCGATTACGAAATTTGCAATAACAAAGCCGTGAGATTAAAAAAACGGTATAAAACGCCAATTTTTTTAAGTTGCTGTAAAAATGTAAATTATAAACCAAAAGTGATAAAACTTTCGAAAACTATAGCCAAAAATCAGGAGAGCAAAACTTTTTGTTCTATAAGGTGTTATACATTCATTGGCATCTGAATTTCGAAACTTTGCCAAATTTGTTCGAAGCTTTGCTGACACTTGAAATTTGGTACACACATAGTAGTGTAAATATGCAGAAACCAAGAACAATTTGCAAAATTCAAGTATCTTCATTTTTGTAGTTTTGATAAGGTTTTATACGTCACCCTAGTTTTATACGTCACCATTTTTTTTTAATTTTTGGACGTATATTTATGTATATTTATAAAATATTCCATCACGGTACATTAGTCAGCAAAATTACATACAATTTAAAAATATATATATTTTCATCGTTTATATCCTAAGCTACTTAACATTTTGCGCCTGTTAGCCATACTCGTACATTATTCAACATATCAACATAAAACAAAAATGTACGTGTGGGGTAAACCTTTAACTTTAAGTAAACAATTGTTTAAATTTACTGTTGCATATTTCTAATAGTATACAAGCGCCGAAGAGCGGAGCTCGCGCTCGAAAATGAAAAGTTAAAGGTTTACCCCACACGTACGATTTTGTTTTATGTTGATATGTT